AGAGAGAGAGAGAGAGAGAGAGAGAGAGAGAGAGAAGCGATATGTCGGGCCATCAACCCTATCTACGTCATCAGCCTCACGGCCGGGGAATTAGCCGTACAAGAGAAACATTCAAGACACCTACACACATTTGTGGGAGGGAAAGTGTAGTCACACACCATTCCCATGGAACCTTACATGTACAACAGTTATTCATAGTTTTCCAACCAGAACGTTAAAAAATACACAAAAAGCCCCCTCCCCCCCCCCTAAAAAAACAACGAACAAAACAAACCAACTTATTTAATACGTTTTTCAGGGTCTGAGTATGAAAGTCCGTTTCATGTTGGAAAATACAATATATTAATGTTATTATTCTCTGTTTTCTAGTATTGCCCCTGACGGAGTTTGCGACGTCGAAAAAAATCACTGAACTGTCAAGACCGAATTAATAATGAGAACAAATTAAAGCGCATGCGTCAATCGGAGAAATCTTTTGCTGCACGAAGGTCTACTTTTGAATACCTTAAAGTTAAAGAATGCAGATTTCGAAAAAATTATGTGCGTAGAGGATTTGGAAGGGTTACTTGGCCAATGCCCACAATCTTAACCCGCTCCGTGGGTTGGGTTTTATTTATTTATTTTTTGGTTTGAAAAGTTGGCAGTTGTATGGCTATGCAGGATGTATGAGTGATATATTACACATCAAAACACACACACATACACGTTAAAAAGTTGATCGACTATTTATAAAATAACTTGCTAAATTTCTATAGTTTTTTTTAATACTGCATTTTTGGCGCAAAATACTCAGGCTTTGAATGGCTAAAACTGCACGCCACAACTATCTAGATCTATCCATTTTATCTGCTTAACACCGTTTTTTTTCTTTACGCACTAGTACTAAATATAATCTATCTATTATATTATACACGTCTTAAAAACCAAGGTAAAATACTCTCACTACTTTTTAGTTTTAATAAGAGTTGTCGGCACTTGCAACACAATTATGTTATATAAGTGCCAAAGAGAATACTATGTGTCACAAGACACAATTAGGTTATATAAGTGCCAAAGAGAATACTATGTGTCACAAGACACAATTAGGTTATATAAGTGCCAAAGAGTATAATATGTGTCACAAGACACAATTAGGTTATATAAGTGCCAAAGAGTATACTATGTGTCACAAGAGAGCAACATACAGAGAAAAAAAAGGAGCACTATAATATGTTTGGTAGGATAAAAGGGGCGAACCACTCAAGTGCACCCGCCAACCACCCACTCTCTGACAACGTTCTCATTCATAGGTCTGTGCCACAAGTAGCGGAGCAGATCGTTTTACGATAAAATCCACTTGATATTCTTGTAAGATTTGTGAAAAAGAAAGAGAGAGAAATATGATATCTCTCCAAGAACACTAGGTTAGTTCAAGAAACTAGATTTTTTAAGTGAGGTAATTCTATAATTCTTCATGCTTTTCCTCCTGCTCCGGCTTCTTCTTTTTCCTTTCTTTATTTCCTTTGTTTCGCAACACAACCCTTCGGGGGCTCTTGTGGCCTAGAGTTTAAGGTGCTCGCCTCTATTCAAAGGTCCCGGGTAGCGGCGGAAACAAATTTTCTTCTCTAAAATCGTCTTCTTTCACACCCTTTCCTGCTCTCTAACAATGTTCGTCTCCAGTTTCTGCCCCCATCATCTCACCTCCTTTGCTCCCTCCTCTGGGCTCCTGATTTTTTTTTTGCAGCCTTTCTACTGCTACTCTTTGGCTCCTTCTTACTGCTGTCTTTCAGTCACACCCCTGATCTTATGGTAGGGAAGATCTACGCCTAGCCTTTTCGGACAAGGGCCAAATCTCAGAGGTTCTGAGTGCAAGTTGCGCACGTTAAAGATCCCTTGGTGGTCTAAAATCAATAAGAGTATGTTTCGGCCGTCACCCGGGCAAAATTTACTACAAGCTGAAAATGTTTAATGTGTCCCGCGCGCTCATACGACCTTATGCAGTTGCGAGCGCTGTTAAACAT